AAAGTAGTCTGAGCTTTTATTCTTGCATGTAGTTTTTACTTTTTATATCTTATGTATTTAAAGGTTAATAACTCACTATAGTTATTATATTCAAAACTATTAATAAAGATATGAGCAAGGCCTCACCTTAATAACAAAAAAAAATTAAAGTATTTTGAAGAGTATTTTTAAGATTAGTATTAGTGATATTATTATTTTAAAAGTAGTAAGCAGAAAGTATTTAATATAAGCATAATAGAAAAAAATTTGACCTTTTGGGTAGTAATAGTATTGTTAAGTTGTATAAATTTTTGTTTATAAATAATAAAATCTACTGCTAAAAGGGTATGAAGATTGGCTGGATGAATAGGAAGCTGTCTAAGGATTTACATAAGTAGAACCTATGTAAAGATAGATGTATTACCAAATTGAAAGTACTTACATATGATGGTGGAAAAATTCTACCAATTTGAAAGTTTATATAGTATATGGTGAATATATTAAATACAATATAATAGTATAGAAATCCTGATATATACTAAAAATCAGGTAACAAAGTAAAGATTTAGACAAATTTTGTGGTTTTCATGTCATATTTTAATAATATCTTGTGAATCAACTTGAATCCCACAGCCTTTATATTACAATTCTCTTATTTCTGTAGGATCAAGTAGATTATGTTATCAAAATATTATTTTGTTATTTTGTTATATAACACAAAATAAGCCACAATGATCTTGAAAAAAGTAGTATATAGTTATTATTATATAAGAAGATTGGGGTCTGTTAAGCAGTATTGATCTACATACTATATAATTGCACTCTTTATGTCTTTATAAAATAGTAATCCTGTGTTAAACACTTCTTTTCAAATGTATTATAAGCTATATTAGAATTGATTCACTAAATTCTTACTAGAAGTACTTATACAGAAATTAGATCTTCAATTTCTTTTTTTGTCAAAAAAATGATTTCTTTAAATTGCTCTCATCAAATGAACTGAGATTTTTATATTAGTTAGAGTAACATTTTTGTTGTTATTAATCACTTTGTTTTTGCTTTATTGTAGTTTTCTTTTTTACAAATTTAAAGGTTAATACTATCGAATTTAGTCATTTATTTTGCAAGAACTAATATTATCTTTTCTGGCATACAAATTTTACTTTTTCTTTATATTTAAGCATCAAATGCTATAGATTAATATATATTTGGTCAATGATAGCTTTTCAATATGTCACACAGAAATATACATTCAGACCTATATTATTTTATTGATAGCTCATTTAGCTAACATTACTTCAGGCAAAATTTAGTAAAAATATATATTTGTAACTAGAGTGTACAGAAATCTGTGGTGGCAGAATCTGTATAAAATTCTGCTTTTGGCACAGTTCTGCCTGCTTAAGAAAAAAAGTGAAAAATCTGCTTGAGCAGAATCTGCAGAATTTCTTAAATAAATAATTGACAGATAAAATTTACTATTATATAATATAATTAGAAGATAACAAAAATAAATATATTATATATTATATAGAAAATTACTACATTTTACTACTAGTAGCCGATACCAGTTTGTATCACATAACATAATTTATAGATATTACACAAATGCGTTTGACTCTCAATAAGTTGTACATATATATTATACTGCATATTATATTATCAAATGTACAGTACATATGTACGTATGTACATATATACATATATATGTATAACATAATAGTATGTGTAATACGAACATACTCAGTACAATTGATTTTACTTTTTTTTTTAAAGTCTACAATCCTGGCTATTTGGTTAGTAGTTTAATTCTGGCTTGTGGTTAGTTAAAGGTAAGATTTACTTATTAAATTGCATTGCAGCAAAGCTTGAATATGTTAAAGAATTTTTATGGTTTTTTTTTGTTCTCTTTTTTCCATTTAATTTCTAATCTCTTAATGTATTTATAGGTGCATTCAAAGAAGCTGCCTTGCCCTACATAATACTGAATTTAAAGCGTATAGTTATATGTGTTACTTAGTATTATACATGTTACTTAGTAATATTGAGTTTTAAACTGCCCAAGAGCTTGTCATTGTTATCTATTTTCGTGTCTTTTATATATTCCATTCAACTTAACCAGGCCCTCTTTATATTTTCCACACTGTCTTTGTCACTATTTCTATTTAAACCATTTAAAGTGCTTTATTAAGTGTAAATTATTCAAGTAATCTTGGAAAACTATTTGTTGTAGCATTATTAAACTAATAAATAACCTAAAAAAGCTAATAACAATGGATGAACCTATTAATAATTTTAATCAGTCTTTCATTTGTATCTTTTTATTAACATTTTATATTATAGGTCTGTTACATTTTACAATTCTAATTTGTATTTTTATAAAAATGTTAGATACTGGATCTAGTTTTTCAAGTATATTCAAATGATCAAAGTTTTAATGAACACATACTATATTTCAAGAATTACGCACATCCAAACTCCTATCAAAGTTTTAATGAACATATACTATATCCTAGAGATCATGAATATTCATCAAATTTATACTCTGAAAATCAAGACAAATTAGAACAAGTTTTTTGCCATACATAGTAGCTCAAAATAATAAGGTGAATGAAGAAATTCAAGGTTAATTAGTCAAAAAGTTGGTATAATACAAACTATTTCTTAACAATGATTATAACTATTTTTATTAATCATAGTTGAACAATATGAATTACAAGAATTAGAGGATAGCTTGAGTGATAATGATGACGATGGTTAAGAATATAATAAAAATAGAATTGTTTTACAAGAGGGTGATGCTGAATTACAAGAATTAGAGTATAGCTTGAGTGATGATGATGATGATAGTCAAGAATATAATGAAAATGAAATTGTTTTAAAAGAGGGTGATGTTTTTGCCACCTGGGAGGCTGTTCAAATTGCAGTAAATGCATTTGCTAAACAAAATAAATTTGTAACTAATAACGAAAAGAACTTGATCAAGTTGACAAAACAATTATTCGACGTTGTGACTATCATTGTTGGAAATCAGGTATTAACTATATTAAAAAGGTGGAAGATATCAATGTATATCATAATAAACAGTCTACTAAAACAAACTGCAAGTGGATTGTTTCATTTTATTTTGGAAAAAAATCTAAGCAGATATATATTACAAAAATCAATAACGTTTATACTCATATATGTAGACCAAAACCTATTGCTTTTGCACCCAAATATTTTAGGTTACCTCAAGAAATAATTGATAAGATTGAATATTATACAGTTGTGAGACAATTAGGAGCAGGACAACAGTATGATCTTTTGACTAAAGAGTTTCCCGAATTTCAAATACACTGCAAAAATATATATAATGCAATGCAAAAATTTCATAGATCTAAAAATTATGATGAAAATGATGTGGCAAAACTTTTGCAAAAACTTTTTAAAGAATGTGAAGCAGACCCAGACTTGTTTATTGTTACCTGATTAGAAGGTCTATCAAATGAACTTACTGGATTATTTTGGATGACAAAAAAACAAAGATATGAACTTTGACCTCGATTTCGAGATGTTATCATTCATGATAACACAGCTAAAACAAACTGATTTGAGATGGCATTGAGTCTATTTGTAGTTGTGGATAACCATTTCAAAACATGTATTGTTGCTCAAGCACTTACAAAATATGAAACCCAATCAGACTATGAATAGATTTTAAAATATTCATTGGAGATGACAAATAATTTGCTACCTATTGTTTTTTTTACTGCTGTAAACCTGCCATGATTACAACAATTCACAAAATATATACTACAAGCTGACACTTATTATATATATATCATATAGGTCAGAACATTAAAAAAAAAGCAAGAGCACTATTGTCAACTAAAATGGCAAAGGTATTTATTACGGATTTTTTTCAAATGAGAAATTAATAAAGATTAATTTGATATATATTATCAAATTATGTTAACTATATCCATCTTGTCAATCCTATTTAGAAAAAAAAACTTTTTCTAACTAGTGATGTATGGGCAAAGTATGCTATTTTGAAGGTTTTTAAAGCCAGTATTCAATCAACCCAGCAAGTAGAATGTTTAAACAATGTTCTCAAAAAGCATCTCAATCAAGGAACTTTACTTACAGAGCTGGTAGATGTTATACAAAAAGAGTTAGAAAAAGAAGCTTCATATACTAGGATTAGAGACTATTATAGATTAAATCCTTCTGTATATTTGCCATCAACTTATAATATAATTTTTAAGTCTATTGATCAAGTTTTGCAAATGTTGCTTTTTCCAATTCCTCTTTCTCTTCAATATGCACAAATGAAACAATCTTTGTTATATGTTGCCATTTTAGTCGATTTAAATAAAGTAAGAATTAATTAAAATACTTTTAAATAAAATTATATATTCGTTAAATGTAAAAATTAATTGAGTTGTAACTTTAATTTATTTATTATTGAATAAAATTATATCTTTATTATAGATTCATAATATTGAATATGACTGTGATGATTTTATTGAGTATGATGATAAAGTATCTCAAATTCGAATTAATCAACTCCTAGATAGTATTTTATCTGAACATATTAGTGAATTATGGTGTAATGTAACAAGTTAGACCTATGGTTAACAAGTTACCTTACTTGACTAAGTGTACGAGTAGTTAAGAAATGTGTT